TTAAACCAATACAGACAGATTAGTATATTAAGGAGAGAGTAACTAATAATGAATTTACGGATTTTTACTTACGCTCCTGCTTTGACACCCTTAAATTCGGCTGAATTAAAGCGTTCGTCGTTTTTTAAAAATTCGGTAAGCATAAAAATATGTACACATGGTAAATTGTTTGTTAACGCGTAAGGAATCCTTCTGAAGCAATTTTTTAGTTTAACACAAACTACAGATTATTTAAATCCACAAAATAATTAATGAAACACAACCACACAAGTAAACACTATGCACAGAACGTAAACAGTCCGCCATTTATATGACCAGAGACGTCACAACCAATAGGATGGCGTTTTAGAGATTCATGAATAATTTGAATTTGAGCTGAATTTGTTTATTAAATATTTAACAAAATATCAATAGATAGATAGTATAAACTTATTTGATCTTTCGTATATATACAATATATATATATATTTCGTGTATATTACCATAGATTAATGTTCAGTTTGTAGGAATTTTTGATACAATGATAACGCCTTATTGAGGCAGAAACTTTTGGGTTGCAGCACTATAAGAAGAACATTATTTTTTATTAGCATCGGTAGTTAGGAATTGGCTCCATTGCTAGGGAATTTCTCAGAAATTTTCAAACATCATCGACTTTTGAGCGATAGGTTTCCATTTACCTTCGGCATTTGATTATTTTTGAACCGACCTTAACAGTTGAGCGTTTCTGTAATTTACAGGATAACTAATTTCGAACAAGCACGATCTTCAAGAAATTTTTCGGAATTTTTTACTTTGGCATTTTATAGCTTTTGAGACTTGCAGGTTTCTTATCTTTTCAGAGGAAATTTACTTGTAATTTGCGTCACCATCAAGCAAGTTTTGAGAATTTTTGACTTGAAAACGGTCGATGATGCTTGTAACCGAAACGTTGCAAAAGAAACATCTTTGCAGAACAATCGAAGTCCGAATAAACTTTATAACAAAAATGTCCTTTTTTTTCGTTTGTCTGGCAAAGTTCCAGCTGAGACATAAAAACCAATAAACAATAAATTGATACAAAAAACGTCGGAGACAAGCCGGTAATTCGACTTTAATAGCTTTTTGGCCCTTCACCATATAAAGAAAAGCCACGTTCCATAAGCGTATAATTTATTAGCGCCGTTTTGTGGCTTAAGAGCCAAAAATCTGTCGCGGAATTTCAGTTTTTGAACGGCAAACTATTAAGTAGTTGATTTTCTTCATTCGAGCATATTTATTCTTGATTGTATGGTAAAAGGGAAGAAAAATTTGGGAAAAACTAACAAATGGAAATTATAATTCTTAACTTCTGTAATTGAAAAAGACTAGAATATTTCAAAATCCGAAAGTCCCGGATCAAACCGTTATAACTTCGAAATCAATAAACATTTCTGTCTTTTGCTTTTAAAAATAAGAAAATCAGAGAAAAATTGCTTTCGCTTTGAGCTCAAAATTTGCCATTCTTCTAATTTCAAAAAACATAAAATCAGCAATAAGAATTCAGTTCGTTCTTTTACAAAAACGCTCCAACCAGCTGTAATGACTCTGATTTATCAAAAACCCTAAATTAGCTGTGTATCTGTTTGAAATCGCACTTTTTTCGGTCGGATTAACCGAACTGAGCCACATTGCCTTAATAACGTGCTTAATTCCAGGTCTCTTATAAATAATTAACCACAATACAAGAAGTCGGCCTTCACAAGGATTTTCTCGTATCGGATAGAAATATTTTTTTAACGCGGATTTGTACATTGTCCCTGTTCTCGCTTCAATTTGCTCGTTAATACCATAGCAAGTAGTCGTTCGCTCCAATGCATATATTTGCGTTTCGATCCCGGATTTGATTGGTTAATTAGGCTGATACCAGACCAGCAAATTCCCACTAAATTCCGAATTCAATGTCGCGAAAAAGTTACTTCCGAGTATCCTGCGTTCAGTAACAATGATACAAATTTAAAGCTTATTTTTCATTTTTCTGGAAGCTGAAATAATAACTTTTATCATTGATTAAAGCGACTTTGCTCTACAAATTGCGGCAAAGCACACATTTTTATCTTTATTGGTTCAAAAGTTATTAAGTGAAGAATACCGACGTGTTCAATCATGCTGTGGAAAAATCAACCGATTTTGAAAATTTCTTGGACTATGGCGCAATTGCCAAACTTTTGACCTTAGTGCCTTTGGTCTAAACACCTGAATAACATAAACTTTTGTAGCTTCGTTTGAAAAAAAAAGTTTGAAAAAGTTATGAACTTTGGAAGACAAACTTGTCCAATTCTACTTTTAGAAAATCAATAAAATTTGAAAATTTTTCCAAAATTCTGTGTATATGGCGCAAATTTTAAACTACCGTCTTTCATAAAAGACACATTGCTGAATAAAGTGCAGCAAGGCACAAGTTTCTATCTCTATCGGTTTAAAAGTTATTAAGTCCAGAAGATGGACTTAGACAAT